ATTAAGGGGAGCCTCCCCCCCCCCCCCCCAGTTTTTGTATGCCTTTTTACCTGTTATGCTGAGTTTATACCAAAAAACATACTCGCCTGCCCAGCCAATCCAGTATTATCCTGCTTTGATCCGACGCCACAGCCTGGGCCCAGCGCTGACATCTTCTTTGACGTCATCAGGAGCTGTCTGATTCTTCTGGTTTCTGTAGCTGCCCCCCAAAGGCACGCATCCAGGTCCACCCCCTTGGCCGCTGTGTGACCTTGCTCTTGCACCCTCCTGGGACATGTGACTGGTATGCAGGAGCACAGCATTTTCACCTAGGTGAAAAATATATTAAAGGGGCGGGGCCAAATATATTTTTTTGAGGTAAAGAGAAAAAAAGGCGTTTTTTTTATTGCGGAGAGGGTTTGCAGGGTGCTGAAGAAAACCTGGGGAGTGGAGGTCCACTTTAATATTTGAAGCTCCCTTATTGGCCATTGATTTTTGGATGTCCAACACCGATTTACTAAAACTGAACACAATCAACATGTACAAATTCAATAAAGCCAAATTCACACCTCCATGGTAGTAGTAACTGGGCATATGTACATTTCCATCCGGGGGTCAGGGATTTTAAACCTAAAATACACGCCTGGGACATTTTTGAGACTTATTGGGAGCTGAACTCCATGCAAGCAATTGAGGTGACACTAAACTAAAAATCGGGGGCGGGACTTAAACCTTAAAAATGCATTCAAGTACCTTAACTGTTAACAATAATGTATTTTATTTATGTATCACTCGGCTGTAGATCCTCAAATAATCTCTGGATTTGTGCTGACACTGCCCTTCCTTCTGGAGGGTGGCTACTTTTGTTCCCCATGGTCCCTGTGTGCGTTGTAAAGTAGTCACGGCCCCAAGCTCCCTCCTGTAATGGACTACAATCTCAGGTTTAGTTTACTAATTTGTATTGAGATTGTAAAAACACAAGATTGGGGGTTCTATCTATTTGACTTCAATTTGACTGGCACAATGCATGTTACAGGTCAGTGTCTCAGTAAATATGAAGTTAGAGAAAGCCAGTCATTTAGCATTTTAAGTCAGAAATGTCATCACAAGTCTCTTATAAATAAATGTCAGAATCTAGTTAAGAACTTTAATTACCCTGGGTTACCATTTTACATTATACTACTGCCATGCTACTCCCTACCTTGAAACACAGTTGATTTGCTTCCTTAACAGTGTTGTAGAACAACTACAGCCAGTTGGAGAGCTGCTTGTTTCATTTCAATATGACCCAGCCCAGCCCCTGAAATCCACGTTGTTTCAATGTAAGCAGTATTGATTCAGCATAGAAAACCCATTGAAGACCAAAGCAAACCAATCAGTAGATGGTTCACTGCCCCTTTTTTTAAAATGGAAAATCTCATATCTAAGCCATAATTGTCTCTTAATCCCAGTATAGTATAAAACAGCAAAATCATTTATTAAAGTGGACCTGAAGTCTAAACTTTCAATTCACTTGACAAATACCAACCTGTGTCCCTGAACCAAAGCTTTAGACTGGAACTAGTGGGGACTCCATGGCCTGTAGGACCCAGAGGGAGACTGTTTTAGGTCACTGATAAGTGTTTGAGTGCTTTATTTAGCTTATATTATGCAGCGTGGAGGGAAAGTGGGCAAGTGGACCTAAAATTGAATACTGATGAACGGTCCAATTTAAGCATTCATTAAGCCTACCACATACTCATGAAGATATGCCTGAACTAGCATTCAGATAGCTGCCTTGAATTTTCTTCAAGTTGCAGATTGCAAGTACTGCTCATAAAGGGCCAAACCTTGCTCTGTAATGCACACATATGCTCGCAGGTCATCATTATCAGGCATTTCTATGATGAATTACTGGAGGAGCTCATTGTCATTATGTGCACTTTGAAATGCATCACTGTGCTGAAATCAACGGCTAAAAATGAAAATAATGAAACGTATTTATTTTTTCTAAGTGCAGCATTCCATATTATTATTATTACAGTAATGTTATTGACTTAAACAGGGAAATGAAAATAATTATGTTGGGTTTATTAACAAAATGTATTCGCTACAATGTTCATTTTTGTTATGTGCTCCAGCTGCTTCCAACATACGTAGGTTTGTAACACTTATAAACGCCTAGAATAAAGAGGTTGTCACTTCAACTAGTCACAGTCAAGCAGATGCCTTTCTGAGAATGAATGACGCCAGACATCTGCCCATGGTCCTGTCCTATCCTATCTGCACCTGGACTCACCACTGTGTGCCGTATGACTTGCCTTGTGGACTGAAGCATCTCACACGTACTTATTTTTTCTCCTTTCTTCTCATGAAGAAGAAGGCAGGATCAGCCATTTTAAACGTAGATTTTCCAACAAGTTGGAACATTTCCATGCGTAGCACCCACTTACCCCTGGGCAGATGAAGAGGACCCTTGTGTGGCTTGGTGGGCTAGCATTTAAAACCTCAGGGCAGAATCCTTGACACTTTGTAGGGTGAAAAGAATCACTTTAGAACATTTAAAGAGTTAATAAAGCGTCATAGCAAGAATAGAGGGTTAGGGCACAGGATATGCATAAATACCCAAAATGGTTCCAGGCTTCTGTTCTATTTACAGTCAATACACTGCTAGGTACCTTTAAGCCAAGACCAGCACTCTGTATTTGTGTACTGCTAAGCACAACCAGGTAGCACAAGTGCCTTCTAGAATGAGCAGCAAGCACTTCCTGAAATGTCCACCGACAGCAGCTTGCACGCAGCTCTCCAGGACACTATTCTGTATCGAAGCTTCTCCAGGATGTGTATATATGTATGTATGTATGTATGTATGTATGTATGTATGTATGTATGTATGTACCCTCCAGCAAGGCAACATGCAGTACATTCCCTAGGCCCGGGTCCCTCTTTCAATATGGCCTGGCAGCAGGCCAAGAAGGCAAAGACTAGATGCATCTTACACTGGCATCTTCTCTAGGTGGCAACCTGAGAGGGAAGTCAAAATTATGTGTATCCTCCCCTAGTCTACACCACTGGCAATAAACCTCCAAGTGATTTGCCAGAAACTAATCTGTTTTCATAACTGTTCTGCCTCCCCAGTCTAAGCATTGAAAGTGTGATCTCTGTAACTTACAGTTGTGGCTATATGACAGTAACTCACAATCTCAAATGTTTTGGCAGACTGGACTCAGTTTATATGACACCTTGAAGATCGTTGAGTTGTTTAATCCAAACTGTGCAGCTCTTTACCATAAGCGAACATAGATCAAAAGATCATAATGTGATCCACTCAGCAAAGGACATGTGGCTGAGATGCAGACTAGAACATAATAAAGAAGGGTGGTGCCATCTACACAGAGGAAAACCTGAACTATGGGGAGGGGTGGACACAAATAGCAGAGACAAATAAAGCAAATAATATCACAAAGCATGTGTAACATGGCAATAACTTAATATTACTGTTATTATTTATTATTAACACAATATTTCTTCTTCTTGCTTTATCTGCTAGCGACACTCCCTAACAACAGGCAAAGTAAACAATAGTCTGAATTTAGGGGAAACCCAATGAACACAAAAAATAACAGAGTTTAGGCTGACTACAATCGAGCATCAAAAATAAATTTAGATTAGCGACACTACAGCTTTTGGTAGGATCCCTACACGTGTGCTATGGCTAGCACTTTCAATATCGATATATTACCTCTTAAGGATACTAGTTAATGGCCTGATCTGCAACATGCAGGTCCAGCTTTACATATTGTTCAATTGATTGTCACAGAGAATGTCCACTGAGCATAGCCTTGTTTGCATACATTGATACATAAGCGAGCATGCTTCAGTTTAAAGTATGAGTCCAAGTCATTTTTTCTCAAATAGATTGCCAAATTTCACTTACCCTCACCACGCTCCAGTGCTGTCCCCGGCTTCCTCCTCCATCCCGCACCACCAGTCCTCTTTGTTCAGAACATCACTTGCATTATTCTTCCCATTTCCTGTGAATCGAGCCTGTCATTTACATGCTCTCTGGGGGACACACCATCATGTGTCCCCCGACCCCCCCACACCCCCACTGTGCTAAGCATAAGCACCATACTTTTCATTTAACACTCCATCTTAAAATATTGACCTATAGCCACACTCATTGCCAAACTAAAAAGAAAAATGATTTTGTTATCCTTTGGACAGTTTGAAAGACGAGATTCAATAAAGCCCAATTCCTGATAGCCCAGGAAAGTGAAAGGAAAACAAAAGTGATAGTTGTTGCTAGAAGCAACACCTACATATTCAATAATACAGAATCTTACAGGATTGTGATGACTTGTGCGGCAGAAATAACAGACATCACATAGAACATTAGGCTGAGCAAAGGTAATTATGAAGTAAAACCATGTCATCAAACATTCTTACCACAAACATATCCAGGGTCATTCACAAATGGGTGAAAAGTTTGGAGAAGACAGGAGAAGTGAACAATCTAGGACAACATAGCTGATCTGGAAAGTGAGCTGAATTGGAGAATGTTTCCAGTTCAGCTATTTTTGTCCTAGATTGTTCACTTCTCCTGTCTTCTCCAAACCCTTCACCCTTTTGTGAATAACCCTGATAGAAAAGCCTTTATTTTGAACATGAGCTGGCATCTTGCAGGGTAACGACCATGCTTTAATTAAATGCATTTGCATTGTTGACCTCTAACAGTAAGATGTGTAGTCAGTGTGGTGTTTTTTAACTAGGTAGATGGCTGACATACTGCACGTATGTGTCACATTTATATGTCTATAAAGCCACATATACCAGCAAGACTTGTTTTCATTGAATTAACTACAAAATCAAATATTTTCAGCTGTGTGTGTTGCGTAATACTTTTTCAAGTCAGAAAATGATTTTTATGCTATTATATATTTTCATATTTTTTTGCACATCTAGGAGGAAAAAAAAGAATGTTGCACTCGTAAAGTTAGATCTGTGAATACATTGAGGGCAATTTATCAAGACTGCAGCAGACAAAAACTGGAGCAGCTGTGCATGGCAGCCACTTAGGCCCCGTTCACACCTGAGCGTTTAACCGCGCGTTCCTACGCTCGGTAAAACGCGCAACAGGTGAAAACCCATGTTTGCCTATGGGCATGGTTCTCACCTGCGCGTTTTACCGCCCGTTCGATCGCGTGGTAAAACGCCATAAGCCCAAAGAAGTACATGAGCTTCTTTGGGGCGTATTAACGCCCGTATCTGTTATCAGCCGGATAACCCCTCGGAAATTCGCGTTTGACGCGCGTTTCTTTTACCGCATATTGCGGTAAAACCGTGCGGTAAGAAACGCGCAGCAAACGCGAGTTTCCAATCCGCTAAGGTGTGAACCCAGTGTTAGCGTCTCTTTTTCATTTTCAAATCCTAACTGAGCAAACTGAAGAGAAAGGCTGATTGGAAGTGGATGCTAATGATGATGAACTCTAGTCAAAAAGCTAAAAACACAGATGTTATATATATGTATGTGTGTATATATATGTGTATATATATATATGTGTATATATGTATTTATTTAATATATATATAACATTTGTTTTACCTCCCAAAGGATTAATATTTCTGCCCATTATTGAAACTTACACAGCCTAGCCACACAGCCCAGCCATGTATGAACTGATTGTTCTCTTCTACAGCTTCGTAACACTTACAGGTATTGTCCCTTCTCCAGCAGGCTCCATTTTAGCACATGAGCACTGCAGCACCACTGGCTGGCTATTTGTGCTGCTTCTTCCTCTCCCAGCCTGAGTTCTGCTGTACAGGGACTACAAAAAGCTGATACCAGGTCAAGATCATATACTTACACCGCTTGCATTTAAAACAAATACTGAATACAGAGCTGCATATATTTGTCTTGAGTTCAGTTTTACAGTTTATATTATACATTTTATGTCGTATGGAGGTACTAAGATTTGCTTGCATTGTATCTTCTTTATGAGTTTCATATATTTATTTTGCTTTACAGATTTATCCCGTTAAAATCATGTATCGAGGGAGTCAGACTGTGAGTACATGTGTGGAAAAGCCCACTGTAACTGCTGAGGATATTGGAGCAGACCGTGAAATGATGGATGATATCTTTGACACTACGTATCGCGAAAAGACAGGTCCCAAACCTCCCATGCAAATAGTATGGAGAAATGTCATACTAATGACTTTACTACATCTGTCGGCACTACATGGGGTCTTCCTTATACCATCAGCAAAGCCTCTTACCTTGGTTTGGGGTAAGCCAAAGCACTCTTAATGTTCACTTACATTATGTGTCAGAACACATGCTTGTTTGGGGTCAGGGACTCACTAAGTAGTGAAGCAAGAATAAGGATGACAGCACTTGAACCTGCATTGTGAAAAGGTCAGCAGCAAAAGCACCCATGTTTCTGTCTTGATGCCACTTCTTGAGATGGCAGAGGTGTTTAGATCTATAAGTAAAACCAATGAATTAATCTGTCTTAGGCATTGATTGTTAAAGCATTGTTATGGCCCAACCACATAGCACATGGTTCCGTTCAGATCTGTGCAGTGGTTGTCGGGCTAACATGGTCAACAGCATGCCCCTCCCTCACTGCTGTCCAACCACGCTGCTCACAAGGCGATGAATCTATAATTGATTTTGAATAACAGTGCACACCGTACATGAGCAGCCACCTAATCTTGCAGCCATGTGCCTCTTTTGCTTTCCTCTGCCATCTGTCTTGTACAGAAAGTAAAGACTCAGCCCAGACCCTAGCTATTCAGGCGAAAGAGACTAGAGTAGTAGCTAGCCACTGGTGTTATTGTGAATGATGACACGCTGGTAATTCATCATTCACAAAACCACAAGCCCTAAACAACACCCGCCAGCTACTACTCTAGTCTAACTCCCAAGTATAGCAGGCAGGTGAGTCTAAGCTCAATTGTTCAAGAGGGACCAGTGTCTCCAGTGCATTGTCATTCGCAACAACACAAGCTGCAACCTAGTATTCTGTTCTCTCTTCCCTGAATAACTGGCTGCTGGGCCATATTTAATCATTCAGTACAAGGAAGGTGGCAGAGGAGGCACAGACAGGGCTGCAAGATTAGATGGGGAGCTGCAGAATGAAGCTCCCCTATAGGCTGTAGCTCCCCTATAGAAATTGCCGTAAATTGGGCTTCAGTCTGGGGTGGATCTACAGACGGCACAAATAGAAAAGAAACATCATTTTATTTTAAAACCACCGCGCGGATCTGAACAGGACCAAGTGCTATGTTAACTGGCTCCCTTAGGAAGGGGGGATTTTCTACTTGTAGTGATAATTCTTCTTTATTTCTTCCATGTGTAACTGTTAGAGCCATGCTGACCACATGAACATTAACAGGTTTATATACTGCAAAGATTAAATCTCAACTATAATATGATGTAACGCAACCAGTCAGGTGATATATTATTGATGTCAGGAGACTGAAAGATGACTACTGATTGCTTTTCTTTTCTTGTTTCCTTACGGCACACACCTGTAGATTGTTTTTCTGATATTGTCTTGTGTTATGTTAGGTTAGTAATTTGCATCAAGAAGATGTTGAGCTACATTCTTTGCCAGTCTGTATAAACAAGACCCTGAAACATGGCTACTGGTTTTTAAGCAAAAGGGTTTGCAATGATAGTGCCTGGTACGTCAACATCATAAACAGTTCAGCTATTTAAATATAGTTTAACAGTTTAATCCATTACAATGTGATGTTAGGCAGAATTGATTCCTGCCATGTTATCTAAGTGGATTAGACAGTTGGGAATTATTGACTGAGCACATTGTATGAAATGGATAATAAATTGCACATCTTTTATTTAACAAGAAAAAGTTGGCTCAGATTCACAAGTCTGGTAACTTTCAGTCCATGGGCAAGCACAGTTGCTGGACCAAATACTTAATAAGCGGTTAGAATCTTTATTTACAATATATATTTTGCAATTATAATATGAAATATAATTGTTGAATTGTGTGTTTATATTTGCATGGAGTTCAGCTTTTGTTCTCCCAGTGAATATTTTTTTAACTATATTCCTTGATAGCCACAAAGAATATAAATCCACTTTGTGTGCAACAAATGGCTTTTCCAACCCCGTAATTATCTTGCAAAAGTAGCAGTGGCATCATCACAGTGCAGCAGATAGTCTGTTCAGAGAATAGAGCTGTAGGAGGGACCCAGCAGCTCCACCCACTACTTTCTGCCTGCAGAAAACAACAGGGGGGGCGGAGACAAGACCAATCGCCCTGCACAAGGAGGGAGAGCAGCAGTGACCGGTCTTTTTACAGGAAGCTCCTGCACAGAGGCAGAGTTTCACACTGGATTAGTGCACAGACCTGGATGAAATAAACAAAGCTCACCAGGAGTCAGTAAAGACACACATGCCTCTTGTATTTACACAATATTTGCTTATCTTGTTTTAAGTTTCTAAGTTTGAGTTTGTGCAATTTGAGACACTACATAACATTTAAGTAGGCCATACATGGTGCAAATTTTGGCCAGTACTTGATAAACAAAGACCTTTGTCAGAATACAATTCAAAACAGCAGAGGAGGAATCTGTTATATTTTCTTTGTTCAGCCCACAGGTTGAACAGAGAAAATCTAACCGTGTATACCCAGCGTCAGTTTGATCACCGCCAAGGCTGGACAAATATTGTACCAGGAGCCAGTTAGCCAGTTTACCTAACAAAATAGAGTATTATTATTATTGTTAGTATACAGGATTTATATTGCACCAACAGTTTGCGCAACACTTTACAAAACTGAGGAAGACAATACAGTCAACTATACAATTTCATTCCTGGAAGGTAGGAGGGCACTGCTCGTGTGAGCTTACAATCTAGTAGGAGGGTCAAGTAATACAGAAGATAACATTTGGAATGATTTAATGGAAGAAGTGAAAGGATGGTTATATCGAGTTGGAATAGGCTTTCATGTAGAGATGAGTTTTCAAGGATCGCCTAAAGGTGGACAGAGTAGGAGATAAGTGGACAGATTGTGGTAGGCAGTTTCAGAGGATGGGAGACACTCTGGGGAAAATCCTGGAGGTGAGCATGCTAGGAGGTGACTGGAGAGCTGGAGGTCTTGGGAAGAACGAACAGGGTGGTTTGGGTGATATTTTGAGATGAGGTGGGTGATGTAGGTAGGGGCAGAGTTGCAGATGGCTTTGTATGTTATTGTTAATATTTTATTCTATATGTTGGGCAAGTGGGAGCCAGTGGAGCGATTAGCAGAGGGGGCTGGCAGACACCGATTGGTTGATAAGGTGGATGAGTCTGGCAGCATCATTCATGATAGACTGAAGGGGGGTAGCCTGTTTAGTGGTAGGCCAACAAGGAGGGAGTTACATTACAAGGGAGTGAATTAGAAGCTTTATGGTATTATTTGTTAAAAAAGGACAAACTTTGGAAATGTTACAGAGGTTACGTCGGCAAGACTTGGATAGTGATTGCATGTGGGGCTAAAAGGAGAGCTCAGAATCGAGGATTACACTGAGCACCATGGCTTGATGGGAAAGGCTGATCATAGTCCTGTTGATTGTGATGGAGAAGTCCGGGAATGGGATATGGGTGGAAACATTATAAGCTGAGTTTTGGACAGATTTAGTTTGAAGAAGTGGCGTGACATCCATGCTGAAATGTCATTGAGTAGCTTAGTGATGCGTGAGGAGAAGGGGTGATCTGAGGAGTGGAAAGATAGATTTGGGTTTCATCAGCATAGTGATGGTATTGGAAGCCATGGGAGGTTATCAACTGACCCATGGAAGAGGTGTAGATGGAGAATAGAAGGGGCCCAAGGACACAGTCTCAGGGGACCCCCATGGAAAGGAAAAGGAGACAAGGAAGTAGGTGACACTGAAGGTGTGCGTGGATAGGTAGGAGGTGAACCATGAGAAAGCAGAGTCTTGAAGGCCAGGTTTGGAGTTTATTGAGAAGGAGAGGGTGGTCAACTGTGTCAAAAGCAGCAGAAAGGTCCAAAAGTATGAGTATAGAGTAGTGACCATTGGTTTTAGCAGTTAGTAAGTTATAGAAGGACAGTTTCTGTGGAATGATGTGGATGAAAGCCAGATTGAATGGGGTCAGGGATGTTGTTAGCAGTAAGGTGGTGGCTCAGGCGGTTGTAGACCAGGTGTTCAAGAAGTTTGGAGGTCAGTGGTAGCAAGGAGATGGGTCTCAAGTTGTTCAGGCTGGTGGGCCCCATTGAGCTCTTTTTTAAAATGGGATTCACGAATGCTTGTTTTAGAGGGGTAGGGACGATACTAGTAGAAAGGGAGATATTGAAGATGTGAGTAAGAGATTGTAGAATAGAGCTAGAGGGTGACTGGAGTAGTTGTGAGGAGATGGGGTCCAGGGGGCTGGTAGTTAGGTGAGTTTTGGATAAAAGAGTATCAACTTCGTCTGTGGTAGCAGGATCAAATGAAGAGAGTATGGAAAGTGGTGATAGACAAGTTGTATTCAGATTTGCAGATGCCTGGACTGTGGCAACTTCATGGCAAATTGCATCAATCTTATCTTTTGAAGTAATTGGTGATCTCCTGGGCTGTGGCAGGTTTGAATTGATTTGAAGAGGCGGAGGGGGACGAAGTAGGCAGTTAAATGTAGAAAAGAGTTGACGGGGACTAGATGAGGGGGTGTTAATGAGTGTGATGACATAGGTCTGTTTGGCTGTGTGGAGGGAGGTACTATATTTTTGGAGGGTGGATTAATATAAGGTAAAGTCTCGCAGGGATTTTGGATTCAAGCCATAGTCGCTCAAGAGCATGACTAGGCCTTCTAAGTCTTCTTATGTCATCCGTTAGCCAAGGTTCTGGTGGACAGAGCCCAATTCTGTGAGTGGTGACTGGGGCAAGTGTGTATACAGGAGGAGAGTGAGCTATTGTAGAAAGAAATAGCATGGTCAGGGCAGGACAGGGGTGTGACTATGTCATTAAAGGTATTCTGTTGCAGAGTAAAGAAGAGAAGGGTTAAAGTGGTGAAGGTTTCTACGGGTAATGGTTTGCTGGTTGGAGTGTTAGGGGCTTAACAATAAGGAGATTGTGAAACTGACAAGGTTGTGATCAGAGAGCGGAAAAAGGGTGAGATTGCATGGAGTGCAGAGGTGGGAGAATGAGATCAAGGGTGTTACCATTGGAGTGAGTGGAAGTGTCAGTCCATTGAGGTAGGCCAAAGGAAGAAGTTAGTAGAGTTAGGCTGAGTAGCTGAGAGGTTGCTGGTACGTTAACATTAACAGTCACATTAAAGTCACCAAGAATAACAGTGGGTGTTTCTGAGGAGAGAAAGTAGGTTAGGCCAGGCAGATAAGTTGTCAAGGAAGCTTGATACTGGTCCTGGAGGCTGATAAATCAGAGCAATCCTCAGAAAAAACAAACTTCAAAAGAGAAGAGTAATAGATAAGGTGGTGTAGGAAGAACTTGAAAAGTGCATTGTGCGAGTAGAAGGATTCTACTCCCACAATGCAGGATTGAGGATACAATTATGAGGAGAGGAAGAGCGAGCATGTTAGAGGGAGAAAGGAAGTTAGTAGCAGACTGGGAGAAGGAAAGCAGGTTGTAGAAAAAAAGTTTACTTGCAGTCCCTGTGAAAAGTAGTTGCTGATACTTTCTTTTAGGTGCCTTTCTTTTAACCAGTTGACATCCGCGGTGTTTAACCCCCTTCCCATCCAGGCCATTTTTCAGTATTCAGCGCTGCGGTACTTTAACTGACATTTATTCCGTCATGCAACTTTTAAAAGTTCCCCTGTACTTTTTTATATATTTTCTTCATCAGAGATGTATAATGTCTGACTGTGCCCTCCCCCATAAGAGCATCTAAACTTATACTGAGATGGGGTTAGGGGTATAATAGCCAATTATAGTAGTAGTATAGTAGACACCTCTGTCTTAACACAGCAGGCTCCATGCCCAGTGCATTAATTCCCAGGCTTAGGCTGGGTTCACACCAGGGCGTTTTTCAGCGCTGATCGAAGAGCTGAAAAACGCTCAGCAAGTGAAATCCTATTGAGTGCTATGGGCATGGTTCCCACCAGGGAGTAGTTCAGTGCGATTTGTCGCGCTGAAAAACGCCCTACGCCCGATATAGTACAGGAGCTTCTTTGGGGCGTATTTTAGCGCGTATCCGTTGATATTCCCGAGTGTGGCTCGGGGTTAACAAAGCGGTAACCCGAGCCACTCGGGAATACAGCGTAGGTCTTACCTTGTCTGCGATCCCCGCTGTGTTCTCCGGCGTCTTACGGGTTTTGTCCCTCCGAGCGTCCGCGTCGCAGGGGGGCGGAATCGGCAGGAAGTTTAAAAAGTTTTAAAAAACGAGCGTCAAACGCACATTTCAGTGAACAAAAAAACGTGTTTTGAAACGTGCTGAAAAAACGAGCATAAAACGCTCCTATTTGGAACGCCCAGGTGTGAACCCAGCCTTACAGCTAAGCTTACTTGCTACTTCTGCAACCCCCTGTTACCCCACTGCAGCCTGAGTTGGCTTGAGAAAGGGATCCTGCAAGGCCCTGAAACATCTGCTTGTGTTGTCTGTGGCTTCATGTGAATAAAGGACAAGATTGTCCCTGAACCTAGGTGTGCTGGCTTTAATATCCTTATTTTCTTATGATTACATGGTGGCCTCATCCACCAATTCACTACAGCACCCTGCAGGAACTGTAGGCAAGCCTGTAAGTTGTGTGACAGATACAGTACCACTGAACTGCCAGGAGGTTTTCCTCTGTACAGAAAAATGTGTTTAATTATGAATTCATTTTCTTCTCCATCACATTTCAAAGTTAATTATAATACTTATTCATCAGGCTATATGTGTGACGTTCCATTTTCTGGAGCATTTTAAATGATAGTGGTAGACTACACAGGGACAATTTTGATAAAGTCAAACTAGATTTAACAAACAGCCAGAAGGTCATAAAGTCACTGTTCATAAAGAACTAACGCAGTGCATTTTCATGGGACTCCAATTGTTCAGAGCATTATCCTGCTAATTCAATTATTCAGCCCTTCCTGCACAAATGTGAAAGCAGTTCTGTGTAGCAGGAAAATAATGGTGAGCCTCCAGTTAGCAGGCAAACCATCTATTTCACTAATGGCACTAGGATTTTTTCCTCATTTAAAAAAAAAAACAATAACTTTATTCTGCTTGATAATAAATGCACTTGTTTAAAGTTTTGCGAACAAGCCGTGTGTGTATATTAAAACTACGTCTCTTGAGAAAGCATCATTTGCAGGTATCTATTTATCACTAGAATATAGTTGGTTGTGTTATGAAAATCTATAATTTAATTTAAAGCAGATAATTGCACTGAGATCAGTAGAGTTCTCCTGGGAAGATATGTCTCATGTTGTAACTACTGTACATAATATTGGTACAGCAGTTTTGTAGCATTCACTTACACAATAATAACGTCTTTCAGGTTATTCCTGAGAAGGGTCATGTAACTTTTCCATAGAAATTGACCCGAAAACATGACATTACAAAAGGTTCATTTATAAAGAGTTGAATGGGAGGTTTACCCAAAGTTCAACATACATTTGCCAGTGCATCGTTTGTTTGAGTCAACATTTGTTGCCCTTTTCATGTTAAATGCTTGGACAGTACCAGGAGGTGCCAAGGCGTTTCTTAGTTTGATCAGCTCTGCAATGGCTTATATGTGAGGTTTTTGTTAGGGTTTGAAATGTAGGCTAGAGGTTGAAACATAAGAATAGGGGGTAGGTGAAGGTTTGGGGTTACATAGTGAAATTTAGGCTAGGGGTTATGATATCCTTTTGAGGGGTTAGGTTAGGTGTTGAGTAGAGGTGCACCAAAATAGAATTTTTAGATCGAAACCACCCAGCGGGGAGGAGAGAATCTAGAGATGCACTGTCATTGTTGGGAAAAAAAATGATGTACTTTCGGCATTTTGCCCAAAGTACCATTTTCGGGTGAAATGTTTTGGCGGCCAGAATTTCGGCGCATCCCTAGTGTTGATATTGACAGAGCTATTCACAGAAGAGTGAAGAGTTTGGAGAAGACAAGAGAAGTGAACAATCTAGGCTAAAGTAGCTGATTTGGAAAAATTCTCCAATTCAGCTCACTTTCCGGTACAGCTATGTTGTCCTAGATTGTTCACTTCTCCTACTTTCTCCAAACTCTTCACCGTCTTGTGAATAACCCTGTTAGTGTTTGAAACACTTACCATGTTAATTACACTTAGGAGAGTTTTAGGATCTTTACTTATCCTCAGTGCTAAAAGAACATGCGAAAAAGAGCATTGAGAACTAGTGTACTGAGGAAATCCAGCAATTTCTGATGCATACCCCCGTGACTATTTTGCCTGTACAGATTTGTTGTGGATTCGCCACATATTCTCGGAACATTTTCCACAAAGTCACCTCAATAATATTATTGAATGCTGGCAAATTTTGATTAGGAATTCTGGTGAATACAAGTAGGTAATATACCTGTATTTACCCAATCTATAATAGATTCCCTAATTTAGGAAGAACTATTTTTATGCTGTGGAATTAAGTACCAGTGTACTAGTTTTCTGGGATGCTAGTTACAGTGGCAGACATTGATTACAAGGAAACAGTTTAGCCTTAAGTCATCATTTCTTGATCGTACAGTAGTAGTACAGGACACATGCAGATTCAGAGACAACTGGGTAATATGCAGGTATCATTGAGTGGACACTGGAAAAAACTGTGAGGACCCTCCTATGACCTCTGCAACTCCAGGAAATCCTCATTTTTTCTTCTAGTGTCTTAGAAAAAGGACTTTTACTTCTGCTAGGAGAGTTTTGGAGCTGGCAGCGCTATCTTGCAAGGAACCTTTCCTGTTCTTTACAAGGATAAGGTTGTGCTTAGGCCAAAGGATTCCATTTCTTACCTAAGGTGGTGTCTTCTTTTCATCTTAAGGAGGACATCGTCCTTCCCTCCTTTTGTCCTTTCCCAAAACATCCTAAGGATGTTTTTTTTGCCATCTGCGCTGAAGATTTGCAAGGGCACCAGGTGGATGTTCGGGCGTCTACTGATGCTAGTTATGGCCATCAGATGCTACAGGCTGATGTCTGACATTGGGGTTTCCCCCTTGTTTTCTGTTATATGGGTCTGTAGGTGGGTTGTTTTGCTCTGCTGCCCACCCTCTTTTCTATTGCTTGTGTGTCCAGTCTTCCATGAATCTGCCTCTTTCCTGTACTGTGCAATCAAGAAAATAGGATTTTTGACTTGCCAGTAACATCCACTTCTTGGAGTACAGTACAGGACACAGCACCCTTCACTCTATGTCCTTTATTGCTTGCTAAAAAAAAACTGAGGGTTCCCTGGAGTGGGAGGGGTTATATAAGGGTACAGTGTACAGTCACCTGATGATACTTGCATATTACCCAGTCATGTCTGAATCTGCTTGTGTCCTGTACTGTACTCCAAGAAACTGATTTTACTGGTATGTCAAAAATCCTATTTTTGCTCCATGTAAAAGTAGTAGAAGTAACTACTTTGTTTGGCACCACTAGCACTAGATCAGCTAGATCTTGAGGTCTTTTTAGGATCTGATGCCTAAAAAATGCAATGAAGGAAGAGCCCTTGTGCAGTATGCACCTGACCTGTCTGTCAATTTGCTTTCCCTGCAGCCTGACAAAGAAACCTTTTGCAAAATGGCCATATCGTTATAAGTAACCACGGCTTAGAAGCCTTGCCTTGGTATTCTCAGTGATGAAGTAACTAGCTTGAAACTAGATGTAGAATGTTGTATTCATTCTACAGCCCTATCTGATCAGTGTCATTTTTTTTCACAGCCACATTGTGCTTCATGGCGAGTGCTCTTGGAGTGACAGCTGGTGCCCACCGCCTCTGGAGTCACCGATCCTATAAAGCCAAGCTGCCCCTGAAGATACTTCTGGCAGTTGCAAATACTATGGCATTTCAGGTAAACATTTTATACATTCGCTGTAGGGAAAATTGGAAAAATGAAGCAATCACCACAGCAGGATAAAAGTAAAGCCTTTGGGTAATATTTGTGTAGGTGTTAAACATTTTGGAAGAGCTACAATATCTTGACTCCCGAGTAAGCCCTGGTTCACACCTAGGCGTATTGCATATGCGCGGTTGTCGCGCGTTTTTTTACCGCGATTCGCGGTAAAAAACCGCGTAACAAACGCGCGTTTCCGAGGGCTACTTGGCTGTATCCCAATGGAAGCGCGCAACAAAAATGGCCCAAAGTAGTACATGTACCTTTTCAGGTGTGGGCCGTTTTGTAGCGTGTTAGGGACGGGCTGAAATACACCAAGGTGTTAACCAGACCCATTGAATACAATGGGATTTAGATGTTTGAGCGTTTTGTAGAGCGTTCGTCGAGCCTAGGACGCTCTAAAAAACGTTCAGGTGTGAACGAGGGCTTACTGCTGCTTTCATTTTTAAAGCTGCCGTGGAAAAAATTGTGTTCTACTCCAAATGCATGTAGTGGGCCCATATAAATATATATTACCATTCATATCATGTACAGCTAAAGGGGTTGGCTGTAACACTGAATTCATTGCAGTCCCAATAAAAGAGGTTCAATTATGACCCATGTTCTGTCCTAAATTAATATTCAAGAAAGTGGGTAGTCTTCTGTACTATTATTTCCAGTGATACTATTTTCCACTATCTGTTTTTCTTCCATAGAAGTGAATGTCACCCCATGTAAAACAATTCTCTTAAAAGTAGGAAAGGGCCCTAGATGTAGCAGTTTCTCATTCATTATGCTTTCAAATTGTAAACATGATGAAAATGTTTATCTTGTGGTAATATTCAACAGATATTATTATATTATTATACAGGATTTATATAGTGCCAACAGTTTGTGTAGTAGATTGTAAGCCATCATAGATTGTAAGCCCTTTTAGATTGTAAGCCCTCAGGGGCAGGGCCCTCCTTACCATCTTGTCTTGAATTGTATTGTGATTGTAATGTCTGCCTTATATTATAAAGCGCTGCGCAAACTGTTGGTTCTATATAACTCCTGTATAATAATAATAATAATAGTACAGGGGGACAGTACAGTTACAATACAGGACGGTTATGTTCTGTAAGTCACTGTAATTGTGTATGTCATGAGATACTACTGTAATGTATGTGTGATTGATTGATTAAGTAATTAAATAAAACAATAAATACTAGGGATGCACCGATATATCAGCCGCCGAAACATATCGGCCGCAAATGGCACTTTTGGCTAAATGCCGAAAGTGCCATTTTCCTGCCGATACATTGGCGCATCCCTGCTTTCTTTCCTTCCCGCTGGGCGCTGCTCTGTGTCCCAGCGGGGAGGAGAGAAAGTGACAGCCGGCAGAGCGCTGCGGGAGGAGAGCGCTGTGAGTGGCTGGTGTCTCTCCTCCCACACCGCTCAACCCTCTATAACAGTCCGGCAGAGCAGTGTGTGGGCGGAGACAGGCTGCGCTGTCACAGGAGGCTGGGCTCTCCTCCCTGCACCGCTCGCTCAGACTCCTGTGACAGCGTGTCAGATAGGAGAGCCAATGCAAACACTCAGAGATCAGTGATAGCTGAGTGTTTGTAGATAATTGAGGATATGGTATGTGTACTACCCTGTTTTCCCGAAAATAAGACCTACCCCGAAAATAAGACCCAGTATTATTTTTGGGAATTGCTAAAATATAAGCCCTGCCCCGAAAATAAGACCTAATGTGTTTTTTTGAGCCCCAAAAAAATATAAGACAGCGTCCTTTTTTCGGGGAAACACGGTACATCCTCAATTATGAATGAATAGGAGTGATCTACATCACCTCTTCATAGTTCATTCATAGTTGTAGTTATAGTAAACATACTTTGTTCTCATGTTATGAATGAACAGGAACACTCAAGAGAGGCTAGGGGGGGATACAGAAAAAGAGATAAAGGACTTCATGTCCTCAATCTCTTTTTCTATTTTAAAAGGGAAATATCAGGTGACTGTTTAGACCCCTGATATTTCCAATTAGAGGCTTCTTCTTCTCACATATTGGATGGCTTCTTGTGCGAAAACACCCAGATGTGATAGAAAAGGGTAAAAAGCTTGATTTAGGCGATCTTCAAGCAGACAAAGTGGTGATGTTTCAGAGAAGGTGAGTTTTCTAAGATGTGGCTCTGATGTCAGTGATATAGAGTCCAGTATATATTGTGAAGCATTAGTAAAGATGCACACATTATTTATTATACAGCAAACCACTTCAAGTGTGATGTTTTTTTTATCAATCCCTACTGTCTTAGAATCACTTGAAGCAGAACACAGTTCAGTCTACTCTGAGAAATGGCCTTGTGCTAACACTCATCAACACTATTAGCCTTATTTAATTGTATGTAACATGATAAAGGGAACCTGTTTTAGCACACATGAACCTGTAATTAGCACACCTCTACCTTTGCTGCAATCCCACTCTTCCCTAAACCACTTGTGGACCCCTGAGGAAAACCTGAATTTCTGAGTATGGGAGATACATGTACAGTTCCTCTGCCTTCTACAATGCAATGTTTAGTGTCTAGAAGATATTTTGCTAGGCCAAGCACTGTCACATAGGGGAAAAAGAAGGCAAATGTAATAAATGCGCACTTCCCCATGTTTTGTCTATTTAAAAACACTGCAAGCACAGACAATAGCCATTGATGCTGCTGGAATTCCAGTGAGTTTCTAACTTTCTGTAGTAAGCTGACAACACTGCCTCTGCTGTTGATCTCTGCTGAGAGCCCAGTTCTCTGCTGAACCACAGAACAAATTCACCTTCTGTTATGGAGATGAAGTGAAGGGGAATTGTAGTCTGGAAGTGCAGTCATTTTACATTGTCCTTTAGATTTACAGCTATGTAAGGGCCAAGCTCAAAAACCATTGAATTTATATCCAGTGAGTTATGCAATTGTACTACATAGTTGTTGGTTAATCTAAATGTATAATCAGATTGTAAAATATATGACCTTGCCTTTAAAAATTTAGAACAGCAAGTATGTAAACCTGAAAAACACATCAGAAATAACTTTCAGCAAAATGTGACAAAAACAACTTAGTTTTTTACTCACTGAACCTACATTGGTATAATTAAGTTAACAGCCTTGCTGGGACAGATAGATAAAGGGTAATAGTAGAGCTGAAATACTGTTACTGGAGAGAATGGTGCTCTAAACGCCTTCCATTGCTTCTCAGATTACTGGAAGCCTGGGCTTTTGGTTACATGAACTCTGCTAAAGATAATGATGGGACAATGGGAGATCTGATCCTCGTCTATTGCAGAGCTAACAAGCCAACTGCCCAGGCTTTTGCTCATGTGAATAGCACTGAAGGGATCCAGGATGATTGTAAGCCATATCTCACCACTTCCCTCTGAAAGATGCTGCAGATGTGCCAAACCCTAGCAAAATATTTCACATTTTAGTAATTATTTTACATCAGCATCACTTTGTATTAAATTCTGATATACTTTTTTGTACCAGGCATTACAAGAAACTCATTCTGCTGATGTGCTTTATCGTTCCCACTGTGGTTCCTTGGTATTTCTGGGGTGAATCTCTGTACAATGCAATATACGTACCCTGTCTCTTACGCTATGCTTTGGTGCTTAATGCAACATGGCTTGTGAACAGTGCAGCTCATATGTTTGGAAACCGGCCATATGACAAGAACATCAACCCAAGGGAGAATAAATTTGTTGCTATAGGAGCAATTGGTACGTATTTATTGTCTGTAATTATTATAAAGCTTTGTCACATTCATACAAAGAATAATCCGTGAACTGAAATGCAGATTGTTACCTCTGAGAATTATATTACCCAACACTAGGCATAGAATATTTACTCATCTGCCCCATTCTCAGTGCTATCATAGCTTAACTTAATTGAAAACATGTACAAACCTGTATGTATAAGGGACAGGATCTTAAAGGTTAAAGTGATTGATTGATTGATGTGTTAAACCTCACATTAAAATTCCACCTAGTTCAGTGATCCCCATAAAAAGTTTATCTGTTGCATAAGAATGTATTCTATCCTGTCTTTAACCATCATAACTTCACGCAGGACTAACACTGGCCATACACTGTTAGAATTTCGGTCAAGTGCTGCTGTGTCTCCCTTGGGACCCAGTTGATTTTGTGGAAGGAGCTAGTCCAAAGATTGTGGGCCAATCAGCTGGTCACTGTTTGGCTATAGTGACAGTGGCACTCCGGCCACTGTCAGAATACAATAGCCCAGCGGGAGGGGAGGTTTCGCATCTGCAGTGTTCAGTATGCATGGATGAATGAATCAAGCGTTTTTCTCGTTCAGCCCCCGGGGTTGAATGAGAATGTAGCGTAGTGTAGTCCAGTATATGGTCAGCTTAAGGAGTCACAGCAAACAGCAGTTCTCTTTCACATCACCATAGGAGTTGTTATTTTTAAGCCCTACAGTTTGTCATTTCTGACCAATCCTGAAGCATGTGCACATTAATATCGAAAACAATCTAAAAAGTTCACTTTTAAATTTAGAGATATTTTATGTTATACACAGACAAATGTATATATTGAGTGAGACGAGCAATAACATATTCATTCCTCTCAACTGTTCATTTAATCCATAAACTCCTAATATATACTGAATGGCACTGCACTACTACGTACATGGAGCAAAATGCTGCTATTGCTGCTGTCTGATTATTGCTCACTTTTCTGTGTCACTTTGGAGAAGAGACTAGATTTGTAATTGCATTCCATTCAATCCGTGACCTCGGTTCCCAGACCATGTTTGCTTAGTTATCAGTTCCTATATCACTTGTTCCTCTAATCTCTAGTGCTATACAGTAGCCATACAAGTTGGAAGCAATTGTTGATTTTATTTATCCCTGTACAAACATTTCCACTCCAGGCGGCCTGTTCACACTGGATGCATTTTGCCAATGCAATCAAAAGGCATTGGTCACAGAAAAAGTATAGTGTTTACTGGGGACTGTTCAAATCTGATTGCTATATTTCATTGCGTTCGAATTTTTCGCCATTCAAGTAAATTGAAATACAGTATAAGCCTTAAAAAAACATATCTACTTCAATACATGTCAACACATGGAAATTCTAGTGAAGGAGCCCAAAGAGTTACCAACCATGTTCTTAAAATCCAATTACTAGAGAAAGACTTGGTAAAGTAACATTGGTTGTGGAGATGGGTTTTTTTCCTTCCCACCTTAAAACAGTTATTACTATAAAATGTCTTACTCTGGTTTTGATTATTATATATTTAAAGAATAACAGCCAAGTGCCCAATATGACCTGTGTGGTTCTCCTCATATAAATACATGAATCTCATCTGAGCAAAGCATGTTTGTAGGTGTAGCAGCTCTAAAGGGACCCACAGACATTACACTGCTCAGCTCTTTCTTATCTGGATCATGCAGCATCTGGGCACACCACAAGTCAAATGACATTTGGATGCAGACACATGTAATGAAAGGATCATTCACTTATTAGTGTGGAAAAGGGAATAAATGCACACAGGGATTTATTTATTCATTACAGGTATTTATCAAGCGCTGACAATTTACACAGCGCTTTACATATTGCACATTAGCTCTTGTCCTCAAGGAGCTTACAATCTAAGGTCCCTATTTCACATACATACGAGGGCCAATTTTAGACAGCAGCCAATTAACCTACTAGCTTGTCTTTGGGGTTTGGGAGGAAACCCACACACCCGCACAAGCACAGAATGGGGATGCAAACCACGTCACAAATCAAGCGCTGACAATTTACACAGCGCTTTACATATTGCACATTAGCTCTTGTCCTCAAGGAGCTTACAATCTAAGGTCCCTATTTCACATACATACGAGGGCCAATTTTAGACAGCAGCCAATTAACCTACTAGCTTGTCTTTGGGGTTTGGGAGGAAACCCACACACCCGCACAAGCACAGAATGGGGATGCAAACCACGTCACAACCCCCTAACCACTAAGCCCCTAACCACAGAAGTACTAACACCTCCATTTGCTACAGGTATAATAGATCATTTTGATGACCCATATTCATGACGCACTTATCATGCTGTAGCTAACATCATCCGCTGCCCCCGTGTGAAGAAATTCTACTAAAAAGCAATCTAGAATAAATTAACAGGACATACATGTATATGTAAATTAAATTTTCTGTTAGCTCCGGTGATTCTAATATCTAATTACTATTTTCATCTTCCTCCAGGTGAAGGCTTCCATAATTATCATCACACATTCCCTTATGACTATTCTAGCAGTGAGTTTGGAATCCGATACAATCTCACTACATGCTTTATAGATCTAATGTGCTCCTTGGGCCTTGCCAGCGACTGCAAGAAAGTCTCCATAGACACTATCAAAGCTCGACGGCTGCGTACTGGAGATGGAAGCCATAGGAGTGGCTGAATACTGGGAAAAGAATGACCGTTCTCAATATGTTTTAACACACAAAAACAAAAATAGAGCAAGGATGAATATGATTACTTTAACATGATCCAGCACAGTGTTCTTTTAACGATGTACTTAAAGTAATTATAACTCCACCTTGAAGTTTTAGCATTCAGACCATTTCTTCTATTTGTTATATGTACTGTTTCTTTATTAGGCTTTTGTATGTTAGTATTATTTAAATTGTGTTTTATTGGTTGATATTTTTGCCAAGCATTCACTTTCTTACTTACAGTTAGTGTAAATTCTTGACCTAATTCCATGAGATCTCTACTTGCTGTAAATTTTGTCTTGAACACTGACCACAACTCCAGCTCTCTCTCTCTCTCTCTCTCCTAAGTTATCTCATTGACAGCTCTCAGGCTTTCTGCAACAAGAATGAAATCAAATAAGCGGACAACTTACAAGTGCCATTTTTTAACAATTTGTACATAAGGAAAAAAACAGCTAGATGAGTTTTGTATCTGTTTCATTTACTCTTACTCGTAAAAAAAAATGGTTTCTAGATGTTCCTTTGCTGTCTTGCAACTGTTTGCCCTAGCACTGATTCTAGGTGAAATGCAGTACTAGGTTGCAGACTTTGTGGCAAATGCTTTAAGTGAGTTGTGGCAGTATGCATATTCAAGGTTGCTTAGACTATTAATGTACGCATAAAGGTTCCACCCCTACTAATTCAAATGGAAACGTAAAGTAGAGAGGTTAAGTAAGTAGGTTTTGAGTTCGCTTCTTCAGTAGAAATGTGTTGCCTCATCTTATGGTTGGAAAAAGGATTCTGCACAGAAAAAGCATTCAGGTTTTCTCTAAAAGCACCAACCTAGAGCTAGTCAACCTGTGGCCTGTGTAATAGCTTACAATGTTCCTGCTGAAAATGATAGAAGCCTTGGCTTTTCAACATTGACCTAAACATTACTGTTGTAGGGGGCACCTTCGAAATGTAGTACTGAAAGAGCCACAGGTATGTGCTAATAATAGTATGCTACATTCTCTTTCCATTACAATACATTGTTGAGAAAAAAAGGCGAAGCTAAGTTTTTGGCTTTATACTTTGATCATCCTGGTTAGCTGTGCCAACTTGTTCAGTAGATTAGCTTAATATCTAGAGTTTAGTGCATAGATGGGCATGGCTTGGAATCCCCACCCTTTGGTATTTTATGATGCTTACTGTCTCCTTTTAGTTTATAGCGTAGAATATTTGTTCTGTCTGTTTAGAATATTTATATTTAGGATTTCTGTAACAGTTAAAGCTATTTGACATCTGAGTAATTAACTGCTTACAAGATACACATAATACTCATAGTATTTATCAATTGGATGCTCTTATTAGAAACAGACCTGCTAATTGTAGGAGAATAACTTTATCTCATTTTTTGAACAAGAAGCACTTAAATGGGCCAAAAAGGATTGGTTTTTTTATGTTCACTTTATGACATTCTTACATGTTTACACCTCAACCAATGCTTATCCTAAAAACAGAGCAAGTTATTAGAAGTCCAGTGCTATAAGGAATACTATACAACTGGGCTGGTTATGCTTTAGGATACAATACAAAATTATTTCCCAAAATGTACTACAGCAGATAGTTGTATCATGGTAAGGGCTGAATTTTACTAATAAACGTGGTGGCACCAAAAATGTGGGTGAACAATATTGTGGATTTTCCCTGCATGGCTTTAAATTTATTTATTATTTTTTAACAATCTTCTAAAAAGTATAATATACTAGGTTTTTGTAATATAGTGGACAAAGGAGGGGGGCTATAGTGCAAACAGCAGTGCCTACAGGTTCCAGAGATAGCTTCTGTAATCTTGCAGCAATGAAGTAACACAAAAATGTGAACTAATACCTAACCACTAAGCCCCTAACCACAGAAGTACTAACACCTCCATTTGCTACAGGTATAATAGATCATTTTGATGACCCATATTCATGACGCACTTATCATGCTGTAGCTAACATCATCCGCTGCCCCCGTGTGAAGAAATTCTACTAAAAAGCAATCTAGAATAAATTAACAGGACATACATGTATATGTAAATTAAATTTTCTGTTAGCTCCGGTGATTCTAATATCTAATTACTATTTTCATCTTCCTCCAGGTGAAGGCTTCCATAATTATCATCACACATTCCCTTATGACTATTCTAGCAGTGAGTTTGGAATCCGATACAATCTCACTACATGCTTTATAGATCTAATGTGCTCCTTGGGCCTTGCCAGCGACTGCAAGAAAGTCTCCATAGACACTATCAAAGCTCGACGGCTGCGTACTGGAGATGGAAGCCATAGGAGTGGCTGAATACTGGGAAAAGAATGACCGTTCTCAATATGTTTTAACACACAAAAACAAAAATAGAGCAAGGATGAATATGATTACTTTAACATGATCCAGCACAGTGTTCTTTTAACGATGTACTTAAAGTAATTATAACTCCACCTTGAAGTTTTAGCATTCAGACCATTTCTTCTATTTGTTATATGTACTGTTTCTTTATTAGGCTTTTGTATGTTAGTATTATTTAAATTGTGTTTTATTGGTTGATATTTTTGCCAAGCATTCACTTTCTTACTTACAGTTAGTGTAAATTCTTGACCTAATTCCATGAGATCTCTACTTGCTGTAAATTTTGTCTTGAACACTGACCACAACTCCAGCTCTCTCTCTCTCTCTCTCTCCTAAGTTATCTCATTGACAGCTCTCAGGCTTTCTGCAACAAGAATGAAATCAAATAAGCGGACAACTTACAAGTGCCATTTTTTAACAATTTGTACATAAGGAAAAAAACAGCTAGATGAGTTTTGTATCTGTTTCATTTACTCTTACTCGTAAAAAAAAATGGTTTCTAGATGTTCCTTTGCTGTCTTGCAACTGTTTGCCCTAGCACTGATTCTAGGTGAAATGCAGTACTAGGTTGCAGACTTTGTGGCAAATGCTTTAAGTGAGTTGTGGCAGTATGCATATTCAAGGTTGCTTAGACTATTAATGTACGCATAAAGGTTCCACCCCTACTAATTCAAATGGAAACGTAAAGTAGAGAGGTTAAGTAAGTAGGTTTTGAGTTCGCTTCTTCAGTAGAAATGTGTTGCCTCATCTTATGGTTGGAAAAAGGATTCTGCACAGAAAAAGCATTCAGGTTTTCTCTAAAAGCACCAACCTAGAGCTAGTCAACCTGTGGCCTGTGTAATAGCTTACAATGTTCCTGCTGAAAATGATAGAAGCCTTGGCTTTTCAACATTGACCTAAACATTACTGTTGTAGGGGGCACCTTCGAAATGTAGTACTGAAAGAGCCACAGGTATGTGCTAATAATAGTATGCTACATTCTCTTTCCATTACAATACATTGTTGAGAAAAAAAGGCGAAGCTAAGTTTTTGGCTTTATACTTTGATCATCCTGGTTAGCTGTGCCAACTTGTTCAGTAGATTAGCTTAATATCTAGAGTTTAGTGCATAGATGGGCATGGCTTGGAATCCCCACCCTTTGGTATTTTATGATGCTTACTGTCTCCTTTTAGTTTATAGCGTAGAATATTTGTTCTGTCTGTTTAGAATATTTATATTTAGGATTTCTGTAACAGTTAAAGCTATTTGACATCTGAGTAATTAACTGCTTACAAGATACACATAATACTCATAGTATTTATCAATTGGATGCTCTTATTAGAAACAGACCTGCTAATTGTAGGAGAATAACTTTATCTCATTTTTTGAACAAGAAGCACTTAAATGGGCCAAAAAGGATTGGTTTTTTTATGTTCACTTTATGACATTCTTACATGTTTACACCTCAACCAATGCTTATCCTAAAAACAGAGCAAGTTATTAGAAGTCCAGTGCTATAAGGAATACTATACAACTGGGCTGGTTATGCTTTAGGATACAATACAAAATTATTTCCCAAAATGTACTACAGCAGATAGTTGTATCATGGTAAGGGCTGAATTTTACTAATAAACGTGGTGGCACCAAAAATGTGGGTGAACAATATTGTGGATTTTCCCTGCATGGCTTTAAATTTATTTATTATTTTTTAACAATCTTCTAAAAAGTATAATATACTAGGTTTTTGTAATATAGTGGACAAAGGAGGGGGGCTATAGTGCAAACAGCAGTGCCTACAGGTTCCAGAGATAGCTTCTGTAATCTTGCAGCAATGAAGTAACACAAAAATGTGAACTAATGTTTGGTTTAGGAAAACATAAGCCAGTTTGTGAGATGTAATCCTTGCCTTGGTGGTTATTGGTCATGCATGCATAGATAACATCCTGATGAAATGAAATGGTTAGATCGTTTATATAGAGGTCTGTTTTCCCCTTCGGTAGATGGCTGTATACAGTACATAGGCCTGTCACGGACATGCATGGTTATCTTGTGTCATTGCTGTATAGCATGTCTGATAGTTTTACAGTAACAATTAATAGTATGCTTATTAGAAATGGGGGGGTAGGGCTTTTCCCATCAACAATGCTACAGTATCAGGAATTCTGTACAATATTCTACATATATTGCAGCAAGCATGCATGCAGTTTAATCCTGCTTAAGCACCCAACAAGAAAATGAAACATGTGTTAACTAGTCATCAGTAAAAGAACACATACAATGTAAATGAGTAATATGAATACTAATGTGGCCAGTTCCAGCTCTGCATGGATAGGTTATTCTAGCTGTCCATCCATAGAGAAAGTCCATATTTGTATTTTTATATATGAGCTATGCGATTATGCTTTCTTTTATTTCTTTGTATATAGTAGAGTTTCCCTCTCTTCCGCTTCGTAGCTCAACTCAATTCAATTAATTATTGCCGTTATTTTTTTCCCCCTCCAGTTCCTAATCGGTATTGGTTTTAAAATATAGTAACATAAATAAGTGAAATCCATTTAAGTAATATTAATGTAATATGGATTACTTGAAGTGTAAGGAGCTTAGTCTTGTAAAACTATCCCTTACAAACCCTTGGAAGGATTGCAAATCTGAAACTTGAGGATTCTCTACTTCATAGAGTCATCTCAGCG